TACCGTTTTTTTGAAGTTTTACGAAAAAAAATTCCACTACTTCGATAAAACTAATATAAACATACTGCCGACAAACGAAAAACGATTCAACCACTTCAATATAAAGAATGTAAACTACTGAGTGACCGTCTCGATCACGATCTATTTTCCCGCCGTATATGAGCAACGCGCAACTGATACTTGGTCGGTAGCGAAAGGGTAAACATACAAGTCATCGGGACTTCATCAGATTTGCTATATATACTCTCTCCCCCACACCCAGTAGATCTTTTATTTGGCCTTGATATACCCAGGATCAGGACTCTTGTATTATTATTAGACAACTCCGTCTTTATTCCTATTTTGTTTTCTTACTTCATTGTGAATTAAAATATGTTCACATAGAATCGACTGACATTCCCCTTTTTCCTTGTTTCTTATTAAGATGTAGTAGTAAACTAGACATCCAATTATTAAAAAATTACACTACACAACAGACAATACATAAAGAATTAAACAAAATTTTAGAAAATATTAACAAATAATCATCGACTTTGATGAAGTAAGCGTCCTGTAGAAAACTGTTAAAGAGCAAATGAAGAACATAATAAAAAAACACCTAAAAGTAAGTAGGTAACAAAAAGTATCACAAAAAAAGAAAAAAAAAGGAATGGATAACAGAAGAGATTTTAGAATTAATGGACAAACAAAGAGAATCCAAAGAAAAAGATGAATATGACGGAGAATCCAAAAGACTAATAGAATTATTTGAAAAAAAAAAATAACCGAAGCAAAGGGGAAATGTCTAGAAACAAAAGGCGTCGAAACAGAAGAACTGCAATAAAGGCATGACTTTTTAATTTACATAAAACGGTAAAACAATTGACATCGACTTACAAGAGAACAACCTCGTACACCATGCTGAACACGGATGACAAATTGCCTCTCTTCCACCGAAGACAAACTGAGAGAATTTAAAAACTAGGCATATCAAAATACTTTTTAACACAGAAATTCTGAAAACCGAAATTATAAAAGCCATCAAAGAACTCAAAACAAATAAGAGCCTAGGTCCAAATAGGATATACCCAGAAACTTTAAAATTAATTAACAAAAAGAAATCGAAATATTTATCAATTTATTCAATATCATTTATGATACAGAAAAAAAACCCACTGGCTAGAATCTATATAGTAAACACTACCATATGATCTTGAAAGTCGTTACACCATACTATACTACCATAAATAGTGTAATTCATTTCCGAGATAATTGAAATGGTCCAGCCTTAAAACTTTATATGAGAAATAATTTTAAACAGAATACATAAAAATTCACAAAAAAAGTATTACCCAATATCCATGATAGAAATCCAAAGAATTAACATATCACATTTTTGTATTTTATTGACCATAACAAATCTTTAGATAATGAAAATATAAGAAATTTGCTCCGAAATGGAATAATCTCATCATTGATTATACTGAATTGTAATTCATTCAATAAAAACATTGTTTTTTGTTTAAATTAAAGTAAATGGAAAATAATCCACATACTTTTGGATTACTTTAAAAAGATAATAGTATAGTAGATTCGCTGAGCTTGGGAATATTTTGAGACAGTCATTCACACACAAAAATTCCTACCACTTCTTATCATTAGCTGAAATAAACTTTGTTGCAAACTTTTTTAATTGCAAAAAGAAGAATAATCATGTATAATAGAAGTGTATATCCATTAATTTTGATTAAAATTTTTCCATTTGTAAATACTAATCTATAAACGACTATAAAATTTCAAACATAAACCTTTGTTTTATTGTTCTAATTGATGCAGTTTATTTTGCTCATAAACTGCTTATGAATAATTGTTGAATTTTAAGTTACAATTAATTTTAACTATAAGCACATGTGCTTAATTGTATAGCAACTTCTAGTTACTTCCAGTTAAAGTAAAAATTTGACAAACAACATAGCAAAATAATTAATTACTAAATTTATTAGATAGTTGGGACTGACTGTAGTTAATAGCGTATACTTCATTATTTCAAATATCTATTAGAGCTTTGCTTTGTCATCTTTCTTAGCTGCATCTATCTTCCATATTTTAGGTATAATTATTTTTCAGTAAAATATAAACAATAAAGAGCAAATGTTCAATTTGTTATTATAATGAACCAAAAAATTAGGTATAAAACATACCCCAGAAGGACTGAAGCTGTTTCAGGTACTCGGAAAACCTGTAACAAGGATATAGTGGCAAAAAATGTTGTTACACCCTAACAGAGGGTGTTCGAAACACTAATAACAAGTAAATTAACAAGAAATCCTCACCTTCCATCCTAGATTTTCAAAAAAAGTACACAGTCTTGCCTGGCCTGTTGTTTTGCCTCCACATGGACCTAAAAATAGAAAGTTTTAATAGCTAACTAAAAATAATAAAAGTTTTTAACCAAAATAAAGAAAAACTTAGGGTCAGACACGAAGGATGCGCTATGTCAGGGAAGTTAAAAAGCGCTTAAAAATGATTTTTTTTTCATATATTCAATCAGTTTCAATCAGTTCATGACTAGTAAATTTTCATTGGCCTACCTTTTAGGCAATCAGAACTGAAATCCTTTGTCCACTATAAAGCTAACGGTAGCCTTTAGGAAAGGAAGGACAATGAGTGCAGGAATTTAAAAAAAAAATTAAGAGTCTATATCTCTTTTTATTATCGAAGGCGAGTATATTAATTTCTCTCATGACACTGCCTGCTTCAAAATATCACCTTCTGTGTGCAAGAGCCTTTATAAAACTTTTATTCATACATAGGTTCCTATTGAGATATATTGATATATTTATTAAAGGCCAGTTTGTGTGTCCATCCCTATAAATATTGATATAATTCATGGCGGCATAATCCTATGGATTGTTGAATTAGACTAATATGAATATCTAAGGCACTATATATATATATATATATATATATATATATAAATATATATATATATATATATATATATATATTTTATATACAAAATGGATTTCCAAATATATTTCAGAAGTCTAGCATCAATGGATGAAATGAAACCAGTGTGTTTCTTCAAGCTTAAAGAATTTCGTGTTCAATAATATGCTGGAAAAGTTCTTGCTTCACTTTCTTAGAATTGCCTAGAAATACACATAATTAAATGATGATGTGATGATATTGATCAGTCTACCAGGAAAAATACGGGCAAAAGCTACTAAAAGTTGTACAAAGGTATTTTGTTTTCATAGTACAATGCCCCTGAACATAAATAATTGCACAAGTCATGATTTGGATATTGAATTCCTTGAATTCCTCCTTAACTTAATCTGACTCGATCTGACCATTACATCTTTCCTCGAATAAAAAAAGTCATGAAGGTAATACATTTTCTTGCAACAAAGAGGTGATAACAGCTAGCTGGTTTACAGAACAAAATAACAATATTTTTTTACAGGTCCGCAAGTGTTGCAGGTTTTCAAAGGTGTCAAAGGTTGCAGGTGTCAAAAAATATTTTGACTTTCATTTTATTTTCCTTGTACAGGTTCCGTTAGACTTAGGTTTTTTGTGACATTTGACAATTCATTTTATGTTAAAGATCAGTCCATTATGATGGTATTATTCATAATGTCTTTATCATATTCTATCTATCAGTTTCTTTCCCATTTTTCTTCTCCCTCTTTTCTACTCTTTTTTCTTTTCTGTTCTTCCCACTGTTAATTCCCCTGTATACCAACTGTTGGTGTACAATGTGTTATATCTATTAAGATTAGGATGTTTCCTTTTTATATAAAAAATAAGCCATTTTTCAGTTATACTGTCTATGCTTTCATTGCTTTGACTGTTTTGTCACTTTTTATTCTATTTGTATTTCATCCAGTTTTTGTTTAATATATTTGGTACTTAGTTATTTATTTTTTCTTTCTTTCAGTGTAGTGGGCATTTTTTTTCTCTTGATTTGAGAATAGTTTTCTCTGTAGCATATATGACTATTGACCTTATAACCTAACATGACCCAGTCAACAAAAAATGTTGATAATAAAATAATACAGATGTCATAAGGAGTACCGACTAAGTGGTAAATGTATTTATTGTATGTGATCAAAATACTGTTTTTAAATTATAATGGAGATCTAATCATATATGATTGCATCTTAACCACTTACTAGGTACCTCATATGATTTAAAACCTGCTGTACTATAAATTTTCCATTTACAACCTGAACTGTATAGAATGAAGCAAGAAGCAAAATAAAAGTAGGTTGAACATGGATAGTATGAGGGAAACATTTTAAAATCGGAAACAAAGTATTTACAGAAAAGATGCAGATTAAAATGGATCACCAATAAAAAATATAACCAGAATAGATAAGACATTTTTGTAAAATCTTAAAAGCCATGTTAATAAAATATATAAAGAAAAACATAGATGAGCCAAAGCATAAATACAGGGAAGCAGTAAATAATATGAACTCTATCCTTATAGGATCAAAAAAGCTAATTAAATAAGGGCTTAAGTACCTATATGAAAAATCACTGTTTTAATATTTACTATAATTATACTGAATAAAAACATTACAAGAGGTAAATATGACAAGAAATAAAAAAAAACATTTTTCTATTTGAAAATTATATTTAAGGAAAGGATTTCTTTATTATTTGAAGATGTGTGTTCTTCTATTTACTAAGGAGATTAAAATATCTACAAAAATAAGCAGAAAACTTAATGACAGCATAAGATAGAAAATAATATAACCCTTTTAAAGGGGTCATTTATTACAATGAAATTCAGAATAAATATCACAAGACTTAAAAATACCTTTACAAGGTTTTGTGCTATAAAGATAATAAATACAGCATAAAGAACATCTAATGAAGATAATTTAGTTATACAAATTCAAAACAATAGCTGAAAAACATGTGATTTATACCTACTATAAAGAAAATAAACTAATATTAAAGTAACCTCATGACTGTTTGTGGTTTGTATCTAATAAACAAATAGAGCTATGAATGACACAAGTATAGAGCAGCTTAATCAAGAAAATACCAAAATAATCCTAATGAAATCATCAAATATTTACAGAAAACAAAGTAACAATGTATATGAAATAAATGTCTACTGTGCATTAAGTCAGAATATAAAACAGAAAACAATTTAAAAAAACAATATCAACAAAGCAGATTTTTTAACAATGCAATAATTTATCTTTATTAATTATATCAACTGTCTCAGTAGTTTTTGAAATTCAGTGTATTTGCAAAAATAGTAAATAATTTCAATAAAATGGTCAATTATATAGGATCTGTTGGAACCTATATAAAAAAGGAACACCATGAAGGGGATAAAAAGAAAAGTTAAAAAAAATTGTAGTATCCATATTTTCAAAGTAAGCAAGTGTATTATCAAAGAATATAGACGCTTATAAGCGTCTATATTCTTTGGTATTATGTAATTTACACAATTTTTAATCATATTGAAAATTAGGCAATTGTGAGAGTTAGGATATTAAAAATTCTTAAAATATTATTTGATACCGAGATTAAATTGTCATTAAATTTTAGGATATAAAAAAGGTAAACACTGAAAGCCCAATATAAATTATGTATATGTACGCACAAGGGTGCAAAAATGGATGTAGTAACAAAACGTGTTTTTTTCCTTTAAAAAATGAATGAAATCAATATATTTACCTCCAGTAAGCACCAATTTGTAGAGGATACGGTTATCCTTCGGATCTTCCATACTGATAAAAAAATGTAATCCTTCCAAAACTTTAGAAAATACTTTTTGATTTTTTAAAATTTCATTTGAAGATGTATAAAAAATAATTTATTGTATTACAAAACCGATCTTATATTGATGTACAAATAAATGTAAATGATGATTAATTTGAAGAACTGGAGCACATGACTAAATTTTATAAATTGTAAAACGCATTTTGGACTTTTCGCGAGTCTTTGCGACGTAAACACCGCACAAGGCGGAAAAACGTTGTCTGAAAAGACAAGCAACAGAAAGACCCGTTTTTGTCGTTTTTAGCCACGGAAACGTAATGCGCAAACGCACAAGCAAAAATGCATAACAATCCCTTCTACTATTTGGAAGCAAAACACGTGTTTCCGCAGTGACATGCGTCGTTTTACGATTGTCGATTTCCACAATGATTATTTTACAGGGCCACAGGCTTACGGAACACCAATTTAAAATTACCTAAAATTTTTGATCCATGAAAAGCCTTTTCGAGCCTTAAAGGATTTTGAACTTAATACCGTTTTAAATAATACTTTTTTTTACGTTTTTTACGTTTTTAATAATAATTGAATACCGTTTTAAATATAAGTTTTAAATCAATTTACAAATTTAACTGAAGACGATTAAATATATACAGAATTTTATAAACAAACGCAAGGATCTGTATTAAAAAATAATTTAATGTTACTGATAATTCATTTTTGGCCAAATCATAGTGAGTGGCTGTATAGGCGATATATGAATACATTTAATCCTCAACTTACGAAGAGTAAGTGTTGTATTTGTTGCGATTGTATTTTGTAGAGATATGTATTTTGCCATAGACGGAGGTCAAGATTTATGAAATCTTCGACGGAGGTGCTCCCCATTTAAGATATACAGTATACTCCCTCTAGGACGAACACGGTTATTACGAGGTTTCACTTATTTTGTCGTATTTCAAATTTCGAATTTTCACTTATAACGAGGTACATTAGATGTCCCGTGAAATTGCTATTGAACTATAACCCTCTATAGAGAGACAAATTTGGTTATAAAGAGAGAAAATAAGATCAAAAACGTAGTTTTTTACGTTTTTGGCCCGGCCGTGGCTATAAATATATACCCGTTTTAACTGCCGCCTGCAGTAAACTTCTTCTGTCTAATCTACCGACCGATATTGTGTTGTTGGAAATTTACAATTTATGATTCACAAGTGTCAGTCTAGGGGTTTGACCATTCGCACCTAGTAAAGAGGCTTAAAATATGCGAAATGAAACAAATTTCACCAGAATTTCATTTCACTGTTGTTTTTGTCGTAGATGTTTATCGTTTGTTTCCTGATTGTGCTTTCGCATCTTAAAAGTTGTATTGTAGATTACATAGTCATATAGATTAGACACTATGACTCCTAGAAGAAAAACATTTACTTTAAAAGAAAAAATTAACATCCTTAAATATGTTGAGAACGATAAGAAGAAAGCAGAAGTTTGTCGTGAAAGAGGAATTACAAGTTCCACTCTATCTACCATGCTCAAAAACAAACAGAAGATTTTCGAAGCAGGTTCGTCGTTTTTCGATTTACCGGAAACTACTATTTGCGGTGAAACGAAGAGTGTTTTCAAAGAAGTCACCGACAACTGGTTGAAGTCATGGCCTACAATAAGACAAAATTACAGTGATAATGTTTTTAATGCCGACGAGCTGAGACTTTTTTTTTAAATTACTCCAGATAAGACCCTCAAATTCAAAAATGAACGTTGTATAGGTGGCAAGTTATCAAAAGAAAAGGTAACTCTACTCGCCTATACCAACAAAACCACGATGTTTCAGAGGTGTGAAATAGCTTCTTGTCACATATAAATTTAATAAAAAATCGTGGATGACAGCAGATATTTTTAGTGGAGAACTTTTGAAGTGGGACAGAGAGTTGGGACATTTTGGGAAAGTTTCTTTTAATTGTTGACAATTGTACAGCCCATCCGAAAGTTAACGATTTAAAAAACATTTAACTTCTTTTTTTACCCCCAAATTGGACATCTATTCTGCAACCGATGGATCAGGGCATCATCTTCTTCTTCTGGTTCCTATCCGTTTCGGATGTTGGAAATCATATTGGCAATCATAACCTTGCTCGCTGCGGCTCGAAACAGCTCCGTTGAGGTTTTCTTAAACCATGTTCTTAAATTCCGTAGCCATGATATTCTCCTTCTACCGGGTCCTCGCTTACCTTTGACTTTACCTTGCAATATAGACTGTAGCAGGGAGTAACGTGCTCATTTCTCATAACGTGTCCCAGATATTGCAATTTTATGCGTTTGATTGTAAACACAATCTCTGGTTCCTTCTTCATTTTTCCTAGAACTTCCTTGTTCGTGATCCTTGCTGTCCATGATATTCTCAGCATTCTTCTATAAAGCCACATCTCAAATGCTTCAAGTTTTTTAATAGTGGTGTCTGTAAGCGTCCATACCTCCGCCCGTACAACAACACAGAGAAAACATAGCATCTCAAATGTCTAATTTTTGTATCAAGGGATATGTTGTGACTTTTGAAGATGGCGCTCATTTTGTTAAAGACCGTTCTTGCCTTTCCCATGCTGCACTTTATTTCCTGTAAATTGCTCCACTGTTCGGTAATAATAGTTCCCAGGTAACAATACTGTTTTACTCGCTCTATCTGCGTCCCATTAATGTATAGATGAGCCCCGTTTATATTCTCCTTGCTGATAATCATTTGTTTCGTTTTGTGGGTATTAATGTTTAGTCCGTACTGTTGACTGTACTCGTTTATTCTGTCCATTAGCCTCTGAAGTCCCTCTAAACTATCTGATATCACCATGGTGTCGTCGGCATATCTAACATTGTTTACTCTTTCACTATTTAGAAGGATGCCTTCGTCTATTCCGTAAAGAGACTCCATACAGGGCATCATAAGGTCCCTTAAACTTTACTACAGAAAACTTTTATTTAAGCGAATCCTGAATAATGTGGAAAAACGTAGTGAATCCCCTGTTACTTTATTAGATGCCATACATTTCATCCACAAAGCATGGACACTCGTAGATAAAAAAACATCGGAGAATGTTTCGGTCATGCGAGGTAGACACAGACTGAGGTAAAAAACGAAGAAGATGAAGATTCTGTAGCAAATAAGTGGTTGAGATTATAACAGCAAGGTCAATAACTAACCCAACTGAACAATGATGACGAGTTTGCTGAATTTATTGCCATTGATGATGACGTCATTGTTTTTGATCTTCCGACGGATAGTGAAATTATCGCGGATGTAACAAATCCGCCAGTGACGCGCTTTTATCGTCAGTGACGAAGTGATGAAGATGGAGAAGATAATTGCGGTGAATCTATGCAAGAAGGTCCTAATAGACAAGCTATGGAAAGTCCTTTAAACGTTGTAAAAAACTTTAGACAAAACGCAAATGAAGAAGCATACAACTAGTTCACATCTTTAGAAAATATGATAGATAGAATGATACTGGACAATTTAAAGCAGTCAAAAATGACAGACCTTCCAAATCCAAAAGCATAATAGATTATGTTATCCTTGAATATATGCTTCATATATTATGTAGTTCAAAAACACCATTTAAACAATATTTAGCATCTTATATTGCTCCGAATGGCTTCACTATAGGAAGTTAATGTTTTAGAAAACTACATATTCATATGCATGCACAGTATTATTGTTATCTGATATAACGAGATCGGTTTATAACAAGGTAATTATTCTGCCGTTTCAGTTCTCGTTATAGAGGGAGTCTACTGTATTATGTATAAATAAAAAAATATATATCAGAAATTAAAGAAAAGTGTTTCCTCTTTCTATAGTAATGTAATGTAGTAATTTACGATACTTTGTGATAAAATAATGTACGCTATAACTATCTGATTATATTCTGACAGTATTAATTAATTAGTAAAAACTACCTAATTGCTATCCAAATTCATAAAAAATTAATACCTGTTCTCAATTATTTGCAAAAAATATTATGTAACGAGTCGTAGCTTTATTTTCTTCTAAGTAATGGTAAAGAACAAGTAATATTTTTGTTGTTTATTATGAAAAAAAAACATGCTTTTTCGACTGAAGATGAATGTAGTCTTAATCTGCGGTAGAGCATTTGGTTGAAACAGGCTACCAGACGTGAAATGAGCTTTAGCTGCACCATATTGATTTTTATGGATGAATAGTTACGTCAAAAAACAAAATTGCGAATTTGGGACAATACCAATACAAAAGCGTCCAATACATTTCGATTCATTATCAAAGTCATTATTTTTACTCTCCGTCAACGGCGGGAACTTCGATGACGATGACGTCGATTACCAACTTCTTTTGGAGTGAATTGGATGATATGGACCCCAACCCAACAATATGTGTTTCAACAAAACGGAGCTACGTGCAACACAGTTCATGCTACATTGGACATTCTGCATAAGCGATTTGAGAACATGTCACACTTCACCACGTGGAGGTGATGTAAACTGGCTACCTATGCGAATAAACCACAAACCACAGCGGCTCTCAAAGCCAACATAACTCATCCTTTATTTATGCGTTTAAGTCATGGAAAATTGGATATTTCGGATATTCGCCAGCCAACAAAGGCGCAACGACAGAACAAACAACAATCAGAATGCCCACTCTCAGATGCCGCCTTTGAAGTTTGTCAGCACGCGATCGCCGTATTTTAAACGGAAACATAAACTCGAATTAAAAAATTTGTGACAAGCTACGACAGAACTGTAATTTAAATTTTTAGAGATTAATAATTTAGCACATTTGAGATATTTGTCAAGACTGGGAGGACTAAAATGGAGATGGGCAGGACACATAGCCAGAATTACAGATGGGCGATGGACAAAGAGGTTATGGATGGATAAGACAAGAGAAGCGTCGGTCGACCACCTACAAGATGGACTGACGATTTAAGAAAACTCAATAAAAACTGGATAAGAGCGGCGCAAGATAGACGGGGTTGGAAACATGAGGAAGAGGCCTATGTTCAGCAGTGGACTCTTGAGGCTGGATGATGATGATGAGATGTGTGTACTTTTTCAAGCAGTATGGGCATTCTGATTATTTATAATGTGGTGCAGCCAACGGACATTCAATGATGTTACATTCTATACATATTAGCATTGAGAGGCCTTTCTAAAGGATAAAAAATTACGATGATATCACACACACTTTATTTAATTTAAATTTAAAGGTAGTAAGCGCTTAATTAAGGACTCGTTACCACA